GCATGTACCCACTGCCGATAAGACTGTCATCGATATAAGCCTGCCAAGACATTTGAAAATTACTCTCTTTTCTTGAATGTTCCACCTTGAAAGTGACATTGGTTGCAATAGGCAAGCAATTAGAAAAAAAAAAAAAATTGACCCCGACCGTGCCGGACAAATGCAGGTCAATATGTGTTACAAATATCATATGGCTCTGTAGAAGAACAGAGGCATATATATATACTTGCTCGGTTGCATTCTTTTTTTTAAATAAGCTCTTGATAACGAATTTTTGCTGACGGTGAGTTTCTCTTCTTAACGAGTGCCCTTGTGTGCGCGGACAGTAAATAATTATAAGCACACACATGCAGAGCTTGAAAACACTTCTTCTAGAAATACTTTTTGTTTCCCAGACGTCCGAAGCTTTATTTCTAAACATAGGTACATGCACAGTTTGCAGGCGTAAATTACGAGGGGAGAAAAAACGGGAGAGAATGGATAATAAAAAAGAACAAATTAAAAATAACAGAGTAAAATGACGCCTGTTTTTATGTTACGGACAGCAAACGCTAAAATTGCCCAGATTGCAAGTATTGCACAATGATAGAGCTCAGGGACAAAACAAAAGAAATGCCGCCCATAACTAAGAACAATATACCTAGTACATAGTTTTTTCCCCCAATCCACGAATGTGTCACGAGACTCACATATTTCCTACCAGAAAAGGAAAACACATCAAAGTTCTCCAGAATATCAACCAAGTAATCACCAGGCACTAAGTCAGTCGTAATAATGCGGTATTTTTTGGTGAAATCCTCCACAAATGATAAAGAGGACCACACAATATAATCCTCATCAACAATTGAAGGTATCGGATGTCCGGGTTCTTCATAGTAATATCCATCTTTTTGGTATGGATCATGTGCAGTAGGATCTCCACCAAACCTCCAAACCGCGCCATCGGCTTCACTAAACTTTGGGGTGTGATACAACCGCACATCACTAGGTAATGCAATTCCTTTTTTATGCAAAGATTGTTTTTATTCAAACTGTTTCCCTTCGCATCAAATGCCCCTCCAGCACAAATCAGTTTGGATCCGTCGATAACTTTAGAAGCAGTATTACTTTTAGATGCATCGGGTAACTGATATAAGTTTAGTGAGTCATTAAACATACTCCAAGCAACTGCACCACATGGAAAGTAGATGCCCACAACCTCCCGCTTCTGATACTCTCCAGGGTGCCGAAAGGGCCTGCATGCCTGGGAAACAGAATGTGTGTCCCCTGCTCGTTGTGCCAGATCTTGGGAAAATGCATAACGCCGATAATTCTGATAAAATCCGACAAGCTCATATTGCAGGTAAATAGGAGAAGCCAGACTCTTCGAAAGAGAGAAAGTTCTATTAACATAGGCTCCCGTAGAAAAGTTGGAATTATTGAACGTAAATTTGTGCGGATACCGATCAGCAGGGCCAACTTGGTATTGATACTTATTGGTTTCGTCATATCGGATGCGTAGCTCAAATACCGAATCACTTGCCTTAATAACAGCGACACCAATGGGTATAAATACTACGGCCAACACGAGCAGCGTAACAAAAACAGGGCCTATCGAATGCCGAGGATATTGCCCCAAATAAAAGCGCTCGAATCGATTGTTCGTTTCTGGTTTCTTTACTGACTGCTCTGTTGAATTTGACATCTGGGAATGTCAACTCAGCTTCAACTAATATTTTAAAAAAAGGTTGGTTTCAAAGAAAAATTTGGGAAATAAAGTAAAAGAGACATGGAAGCAAAGGAAAACGAAAAGAGAAAAAAAAGTGCACAACACACGTGCCATACAGAAAGGCTGAAAACAATAAAGGTACCGTATATTTCAAGAAACAAACCACCAAACAAAACACCAGTACAGAGTATGTTTTATAATATTTACATTAAGTTACTGTGTTTTTGCCGGGCTTGTTTGTCTTGACTATTACATCAATCTCTTTCTTGAATACACCACTTTATCACCTTCTTGAACTCGACAGACAAGACCACCAGAAAAATAGACAGGGGCCTTGTAGTTGGGAACAAAAACCTCTTTTACGGAATGGTGCTGTTTTTTCTCTAGGCATGTATCTCGAATATCTCTCAAAAAATGAATATACTCTTCAAGTTCTCTAGTCCTAGTCCAATTATCCGCCAGTTCAAGCATGGAAATAGCAAAGGAACCAAACTCTACCCCAACAGCGCCTCTTTTATCATAAGCAAAATCCTCCAAGATAGCTGCAGAAGTAGAGGTTACAACGCTCACACTGTCAATTCTTAAAAGGTAAGAATAAAGCTTAAAGTGAAAAGCCTTATACTCATCTTCCAGAACAACACCATTAAATAAACCTCCCAAATATACCCACAAAGCCTCTATACATAATCTTATCTGTGGATTCAAAGAAATCTTTCGGCGAAACGCATCAATCTCTTCTCCTGTTAACTTGGTATCAAACATCGTTGCAACACGCGTCCACTTCCGTTCCTCGTCACGCGACTGCAATAAGGCACCTAGAAGCTCCTCAAGTCGGTTTACTTTCCGTGAGGGATCCGAGTCCACCATATCGACAACCACAGCAGTGTACGGATGCCGCAGGCTCACAAGCCCGCGATGAGAGAAGCTAAACAACCGAGGATTCGAAATAAAGACCCTTTCGGCAAAATTTTCAACAGTCCATTGAGCCTTACCTTTGGGACGACTATAAGCTGACTTCATCGACCCTGCCCTTTATTTATTAAAACACCAACAAGAACATTTAAAAACCAACATGAAGAAAAAAAAGAAAAGGAAGTGAAAAGAAGGGCAAAGCCACACCGTTTACGTATCACCGCTCCGAAACGAAACAAAAACAAAACAAAAAGGGGGAAAAAACGGAAATGTCGCACTAAAACAAAATATTAATAATACTAATAACTGATGCAAACACATGAGGACGTCTAATTCCTTACAAAGTAAATAAAAATGAAACACTAAGAAAAGTTTTTTATCCTTTTGTTGTTTTTTTCAATTAGCAAAAACACGAATAAACGCCCCCCGGGTTTCGCTCTGTTGGCAACTCCAGCAACCTATCCTCTCCTGTATTAACATCCTCTGCAGTCATGCTCAATCCCGTCTTGGCAACCTTCAAAAAAGCCTCAGTTACAAGCTCCCCAGAAGCAGCAGAGGTTTCAAAGTGAAAAAGTCCGTTTTCGAGGGCATACAATGAGGCCTCGTTATGCTGTACGGTGCGACCATCAGAGAGATCGCTTTTGTTGCCTATAAGCATGACAACAACATCCTTTCCTGCAAGTTGTCGAACATCATTTAGCCATTGAGGCACGCTCTCGTATGTTGAACGTTGAGTAATATCATAAACAATTAGGCATCCTACTGCACCCCTATAGTAGCTTCTTGTGACAGACTTGTATCTTTCCTGCCCTGCAGTGTCCCATATTTGTAATTTCACTTTGCGGCCTGCAAGCTGGACAATTTTAGAGCCAAATTCAACACCAATTGTTTGGGCTTGATGTTCTGAGAAATCATCCTCTACAAACCTGTGAAGTAGTGAAGACTTTCCAGTACCGCTATCCCCCACAAGAATGAGCTTGATCAACTGCTGGTATTTCTCGGCCATTTCTCTTCACATCAAGGTAACGAAAATTGAAAATAAGCCAAAAGGATAATATGAAGAGGAAAAAGAAAAACCGATCAATACAAGAAGAGAATCGCACATCCCATAAACAATTTACAAATCTGAACCAGAAGAAAAAAAAAAAACAGGACCGCCACGGCAAAAATAAAAAAAAATCACCCCTGAACGAAGGCCCCCTCCGAGCCCGTCACTTCCCCTGTGCGGGCCTTCGCCTGCCGGGCCCGCCCCGCGACCCGCGATAACACCATTCATTACCGTTATCATCAAGTTTATTTACTTGCTCGCCCTCGGCGGCACGGAACAAGAACTGGCGCACCATGCTCGCTCCTCGCGCCGGCGGTCACTACCAAGAAGAAACCTCCGCTTCGCCTGGAATGACTTGGTTTGCATGGGGTGAGCAGATCGCCCGCGTGCGGGGAGCCTCGCGGGACCGGAAGGGGGGAGTCGTTCGAGACAAGATCGCCATTGTCACCAATTTGTGGAAAACATTAATCCCCCTCACGACGTCGCCGTATTCTGAGGACGAAGGCGACAAAGGAAGAAATGTTCGCCTGCATCTTTGGCCGACGGACATGCAACGCGTACACCTGGCGATGCCGGCCACCTCACCGTGGTGCCAGGGTCCAGTGCCCCGTCCAGGGGGAAGCCAAGAGCCCGCATTACACTCAGTCGCTGTCGACGGGGGCGGGCGGCAGGCTATCGGCAACCAGAGAGAGAGCAAGCAGCATCACCGGCGCTCTGGGGTGAAGGAAAGAGGAAGAACGCTCTCCTGCACGTGCAAACGTGCTCTTCGTAGTATTTGCCGGCTCCTCTTGCTCATTAACGGGGATGTCGAGCAGAACCCTGGCCCGTTACTTCGCGGAGCCCAATGGAACGCAGGCGGATTAACTCCGCCGAAGCGTCTCGCATT